TTAGGCCCAACATGGGAATCACATTTTCATAATCTGTAGTGCCAGTTATGGCAGATTCATAGGGGTATGGAGACAACAATCAAAGCCAGCTGTGCTTTCACCTGGATTGGTGACTGGCATATCCTGTTGCAGATCAACAGCAACAGCTGCAAGATTAACAGGCTTTTACAAGGGTTTTTCCCTTCTCTGCAAAAGTACAGGTACCATCTGCATACCATGTGGCACCCAAAATACCTCATACTGATGAAACCATAGCTGGTGTGATATTCACCTAGAGTATTTAGGCAATACAACTGAGGCAATACATGTGCGGGGTATTACAAGGAAAAAGCTACATTTAAAATTAATCAAATCCTTGTTACACCTGACAATTTAGAACACTTAATTTATTAACTTACATTTAGTGGAAAGATGTAGTTAGAGATCATCATTGGCAAATGGAGCTTGGGGTGACAGAACAGACACTCCTATTTTGCTGTACCACATTTCTGTTACGGCTGTCAACTTACATCAATGTCTTATCAGAGATCACACCCTGGGTGTGCCATTACTGAAGGAACCATTTCAGAGGCCAGCTCTTTCATGGGGCAAAATACCCAGAACACAGCACCACTCACTCAGCTACTTATAACATGAAAAGTGATAACTATTGCCATGACTACCAAAAAGTATCACGTAAAAAAATACTGTCAAAGAGAGCAGAGATCACAAGGAACAAAATCATGGCAAGAGCCTTCTGTGACATGTTTATGAAAACGACATAGCTGCTGAGCAGTGTCAGGAAGAGAATTAAGCAAACTGCTTGAACTGCTCAAAGGTTGATAACAGAAGCTGTAATCACTGCCACCTGTAAAAAGTCTCTCTCCTATTGAAGTCTGTAGCACGGCTGGACCATAGCTTATGTGCTGACAGCAGCCAGGTGTGCACAGATATCAGTGACTGATTGCAGCTCTCATCCTAAATGCTCCTTCTGCCAAGCTGTTGAAGCAATTGTAATTAAATTACTCACTAGAGACCTAGCTACATTTTGGGGATTACAAAAGGATAAAGTTGGCTAGCTTTCACAACTGAAAAAAAGGAAACACTTTTCTGTCAGGGCACCTTGAGAAGTTGAAAGGTGCAGAAGAAGCAATTCCAAAAAGCACCTGTCACTCAAATTCCCTCTTTCTCACCCAAAACAGGGACAGACAAATTCTTCCCCCGATGTTGACAACACTACCCATCCTGGATGAATCCCAAAGGGAACATGGGGCAAGCAAGCTCTTGATCTGCAGCCTGATATAGAATCATAGATTCTATGATGTTTTACAGCTGTTACTCAAGGGAGGGGAAATGCCTTTCAGTACAAAGAAAGGCAAAATACATTCTTAAACCACTCAAGTGCTAAAGCAATTATGTAGTGGGTTATTACTAAGCATCAGAAAAGTGCATGGTGCTTTAATAAGAAGTAGCACTAGATCCTTGCCCTGAAGGTGTTACAGTTCTTGGAGCTGCAGCACAAATGAAAGTAAACAGTGATAAGAAGGGTAAAAGCAGGGTTCACAACCCAAACCACAATGGTACAAATTACAACATGTACTAAAGTACACAGTTACATTTCCCTCCTCTTATCCCAATTCTCAGAGGATAAGGTCATTCAGAGACAGAAGACAAAGGCTTAGGGTAGGAACTGAAAGTGAGCCATCAGCTAGAAAACACTAGTTATAGTAGAGGGTATGTAAAACAACACCGAGTAAGCAAGGGCAAAGCATGAGGAGGGAAGTAAGAAGTAGGCAGGGTGCCTGACCTGCTGTAATGAAGTATGATTCACTCAAGATAAATCAGAGGTGGCTCTTGCTTCATGTAGGGTAGATGCCTCTGCAGTATGAAAGGCAAATCCCTAAGTGTGCTGATATTTAAACAGCTGACTGGTTTAGCCATGCATGACTAATGAAGTCTATGCAGATTTATTTTCTACACACTAGCAACCTCTTGCTCTCTGACTCAGTAAGTGATAAGCTGGGCACATTAGAAATGAATGGGTGATAACTAAACATGAACAATGAAGAGGGTTTCTGTAAGTAAATCAAGCTGAGCATGCTGGCATTGACATTAAAGGAAGGTCATGACATCTGACAAAAATTGACCCAGATGGTGAAAAACACAAAATACCAAGGGAGAGGTAATACAGTCCCTCTCCCAGCTGGGCGTCTGAATCACACCATGGAGATAGCTGTAACTAAACAAAAATGTATTGGTGCACCAAGCTTTCTTGAGTATCCCTAACACCGAATGACTCTGCAAAGTTTACACTAGCAAATAACAAATCACACTTGCCAATACTTAATTGGGGATGATCTAAAGAGATCATCACGAATAATTGAAGAGAATACCAGACATGCCATTTTTCTATCTCAGAGGCACAGAAATATTCTGCATCAAATACATGGAAAGACAAATTTTCCAGTGTAGACACTTGAGTTGATTAACAGAAATAGAAAGACAAAATACATTCAGCAAGTCCTCCTTTTGCTACCATTTCCATTGTGTAAATCTAGACCTCTTGTATTGACTTCTATATTTACATCAGTGGGAGACCACAATTCGCTTATAAAATAGAAATAGCCATCTATTAAATTAATAGAATTAGACTCCTGTCACAGAAAAAAGTTCTACCAAAAAGCCTGATGCATTTCTAAATAATAGCAAGGCTTCAGGTTACACAGAAGTTATCTCCCCCTGCCTGTACTTGCACTAAAATCCAGTCTAAAGAACATTTAATTCAATTAACTTACAAGTGTCTGTACTTCCATTAGACTCAGGTATAATAGCAACCACATCTAACAGAGAGGAACAGGAAGGAAGCCTTCTCCCTCTCCACAGCCTGCAACGCTTTATAACTTCATCAGGCAACCAGGAGTAGAACTATGTCTTAAATGTCCTGATACATGGCAAAGACTTAAAAAAAAAAACAAACAAAAAAACAAAAACCAAAACCCAAACAAAAAAACCACCACCAACACAAGATGATGTTATACGCACTTTTTGAAGATCCTGGCTGAAGTCTTGTTGTGTTCCAGGAGTCCACATGACTTACCTTTCCAGACCATTTTGAAATGCACATCCTCCTGTGAGCATTTCTAAGTCACCAGCCAGGCCTGACACTGGGAGGCTGGCTACTACATTGCCCACATCACCCCCACTCATATCAAACCCCCATCTCTGCTCTGCATGGTTTCCAGCTGCCAGTTCTAAAAAGCAGCAAGGAATCCACAATTACAGACACAGGAACCTGGCTTCCTGACTCTTCAGTGCCTGCTCTAAGACATTAGCAACAGCATAACAAGGGCACTGTGACGTTCGGGAGCTGTGAAGCCCAGCACATTAGAAACAAAACAGACAGTATCAATAATCTCTTAGAGATTTCCTGAACATGTACTGAAATGTAGCCCAACAGGATTTAAAGTAACATTTCTTTTATACAACAGGTTTATAATGTGCTATGCTTAGCAAGTCTAAACTGAATGATTGAAGTAGTAGTGCGAGAATGGGAAACTGAGTGTCCAATTGACAAAAGCAAACCAAAACAAGGATGCAGAAAATCGGAGCCAAATCTTGTGGCTCCAATATGAAATGTTTCCTCTGGACCCAAAGGAGTCATTCTGGATTCTAAAACAACCCCAAACCACGACGTGGCGTTAAAGCCAGTAAATCTGTGTCTGTAGTACTCTTCTTATACAGTCCCTATCAAAATACGAATGCTGATGGGCCTTTCCAATACCTGTTTGGGAGAACTATGCTGGGAGAAAGGGGAGACCAACACAGATAACACCACATTTTATCAATGACTCAGAAAAGCAGGCTGTTTGGCCTTCAGCAGAAACAGACTGTCACCGCGTGTTAAACAGCTTGTCATATGTGCTGTCAATTCAGCCACATCTCAAACTTCTAGGAGAAGGGTTGCAGATATGATAGTGCTGTGGCACTAATGTTGTGTGGACCTTGCTGGTACAATTAATAAAGTCTACCACAAATACCCTTAATGAAGAGCAGCAGCTTGTGAGATGCAAGGGGTCAGAGCAGACTATAAGACCCTTTTCTGGTCTTAAAATTTACACGCACAAGGAACCAAATTATTGAAGCCTACTGTTTTACTTACAATGGGCTCCCTTGTTCCCAGCCTCGAAGCAAGGAGGAAGAAGGGGACTAACTGTCACCTTAAATAATAGACGTGGAGAGAGAGTAGAGCTGAACTGATCTGCTCCCTCCAGGCAGAAGCAAAGGCCATATCAGGATGAATAGAGGGAATGTCTGAAAGCTGATTATCTTCCCCCCAAAGGAAGGCTTCAGGGTTTTGTTCAATTATTTCATCAGAGATCTTAATAGTAATCAGCCAAGAAGAACATCCAATGTTTTGAGATGAAGCAAATCAATATGCCAAGAAGCACAACACTATTGCTGTATGTTTAATTGACCACCTGGTTTTAACTGAGCGTTCTAGCAAACAGTACCCAATTTTTCATCTTAGCATACAGCTAGTAATTCAGAAGACAATCCAGAACACTGCTCAGCAGTTTTACGTGGATTCCATGCCTTTGGCATCAAGGTTTGAATGAAAAGCGTTACCTCAAAGCGTAATTCAGTACCCAAAACCTACCCTTTTTTTACCTATGTAAATATTACACACAATATATAAAAGTCATTCCTGGTTTCTCTAAACCAGGAATTCCATTAACATCAACTGGCATCATTGGTCTAGTTGAGTTAGCTTTTGAAAAGAAGAAAAAAAAAAAAACCCACATACCAAATTGCCTATTTTTGTTTTAACAAGGAAAAAGAAAAAAATATAACCTGCTGTATCTAACCTGCTGTATGCTTCAAAGAAACCTTCCAGAAAACAAAGTTTGGCTTTGACACTGGGAAAGTTGTATTTCAATTGAAAGTAAAACTAATCACATGTTCTCTGTGCTCCCATCCATCAGAACTCACAGCTCACCAATCCAATGGAAAAGCCTACTTACGGTCATTACACTGGCTCCCAGAATATGAAGTCATGGAGCAATCACAGGTGAAGCCTTCCCATTGCTGATTACAGATGCCCTGATTCGCACAGGAATCTTCCTGGCAGGTAGTGCTTGGTCCTGAAGAAGATATTACAAGAAAAGGGTGAAACAAAGCTGAGAAAATCATTTTAGTCAAGTCCACAAAAGCTCCAATTCATCATTACCATTACTATCAGGATAAAGCACTAACCAAACACTTCTTGATTCTTGGACATGCAAGAAACTCAGGTAAAAAGAGCACAAAGACAATTGTACACTCCACAACAAAACACCAAACTGTAACACAGAGCAAAGAGGAAGAGTGAAGAGCAACATACTCCCTCTTAGGCAGGCCCAACTCATGTTTGGTGCTTGCTCAAAAAAATTTACTGTAAAATAAGGTGTGATGCAAGGATAACAAACACTGCCATGTTGCTGTGCTTCCCTGGAAGTTTGATCCCCTTGTAGAAATGAAGGCTAAGAAACAGGCCCATGAACAATGCTTCATCCTACCCAAAGAACACTGATATGTAGATTCAAACTGAAGTTTTGAAGCCTCATTTGGCTACAACTTTGCTTTATATGTTAAGAAAAAAAAACCCAAACGAACAAAAAAACCCCAAAGACTCTGACCAGTCCCATTACATAGGTTCCTCTGGATATATGTCAATGAAGTCCCCAGAAAGGCATGACATTAGTCCACAACATGTCTCTATTCTGGACTGGTTTCCACAGCCTTTGGGGGAAGCAGAGATGGAAGCAGCTACTACTAACAGAACAGCCTTTCATTGTTCTGTGATTTGGAGCTAACAGTTGCTATCCTACTCAGATGAGCCTTGCAACAGGCAAAAAAGCGATCTTCAGATCAGAAGGACTCTGAATGACAGCTAGTATGTCATCCACAAGAAGGTAGCTGGATGACAGCATCACCTGAGAGCAGACGTGAAGCTGCAAGCCATAGATTATAAGAACATGAATTCAGAAGTTGCTTCCTGGGAAAGTACTTTATCTTCAGCATTCTAGACAAAGGTATGCTGCTCCTGTTGTGCAGTACTTCAAATAAAATGTAGAACTATACTTGACATGCCTACCATCCTATATCCTGCACTTGTTGGAAAAGAAAAAGAAACAAAAGAAATAGAGTAGATAACAGAGTAGAGGATCTACTGGCTAGCCTGCCTGAGACCAGTTTGTTAACCACTTCCAGTCTAGGACAACAGCATAAAGATAAAGCAACAACTGTTCTACCCATCCCAGCATCTTCTGTCAGTCTTTGTTAGCAACAACAAGTCCATGAGGCTCATCCTACTCTTCATCACATCAGAACCATCATCTGTACTTCATAGATGAGATAGGACACGCCAAAGTGGAGACAGCATTTTCAATTATTTTAACCCAAAATGAAACCTCTCAACCGCCATCTGACACCACCCACAGTGATTTCACCGAGTCCCATAGTTATACAGCATCTTCGATATTCAGATTGTGCATCTGAGCACTTCTACATTTACAAGCCTTTGCAGAACCCACATCATGCCATGATCCTCCCAACAATTCAAAGACCAAGCCAGGAACGGACCCTTACAGCTTTGGTGCAGCGTTCCTGCTCTTCCCACCAGATCATCTTTCTCCACTGCAAGAACAGAATGGGTGAATTTCAGTAGCTTTTTAGCTATTTGTGTTTCTTTACATCTCTCCTGCAATGAGAAGGACTATGTGACTCCCAGTAGGCAGAGAGTTTAACTGAACATTAACAAAAACCTGAGCTTCTTCCACAATCTGTTATGTTGTTAAAAAAAACAAACAAACAAAAAAAAAACCCAAACCCAAAACCTCTAGGTAGAAACATAAGTGTGGATAACAAAAGCAGACAACAAAATCACTGAAAGAAAAGTCACCTATTGAAAAGAGGCAGTGGCAGCAGCCACAGCAATAAAACCATGTGTTACCATACTGAATGAAAGTTGAGCAGCATTTTTCAACACTTTTCTCCTCCCCTCCGCCTCTTCTTCCCACCCACCTGACTCTCATTTGCAGCTGTACAAATCCCAGTGGTCTCACTGGCACAGCATGAAGTTAACAGATCACTTCTAGAACTACAAACAGTGCTGACAAACTTTACAGGGTGGGCTCGTAGGCACATGTATGTACACACTTCCCTCCTGCCTTTACACTCATAAAAGACATGGATATAACTATATAGATACACATGCATCAGGTTGGGGGTCTGAGACTTGCTTCAGACTTAGTCTGGCCCAGCAAAAGAAGGGATGACATTTAACAATTTCAAATAGAACGTTAACTGTCATTTTGCCTAAAATGTCTGAGTTATCCAAGGATAAGGGATAAGGAACCGATACCTCTCCTGTACCTTACTACACTATTATCTAACCTCTAACACTAAATATGAATGCCAATACTGCTAGAGGTATAAAAAAGCAAGTTATATTTAAAAAAGAAAACAGAAAGCAATTATGACTATGCAAACTTGCTACAGCATCAACTGTAAACACCATTACATAGAAGGAAAGCAGAACATAATTTTCAATGACAATATTTCTCCTCTCTTCCTTTAGTCTTCTAAGAGCACTTTAATGAGAAACTGGACTTGACAACAGGCATCATCTAACAGGGATATCCTTTGTCTAGGTGCCACAAGAGAAAGGACCAGTACTCTACTCAAGGAATAAGACTGCATGAGGCCTAGTACCTGTGGCTTGAAGTGCTTGTAGTGAGAGAGTCCAGAGAGCCAAAGCACTTGAATTCATGACCAGTATTGTGGTTTCTGAATTGTGTTTTACAGAAACCAACTGTGAAGATGGAAACAATACTTTCAAAGCAGCCAGAGGAAAAAAAAAAAAGAAAAGAAAAAAAACAACAACACAATGATGAGGAATTTTGAAAGCCTGACAATACCACAAGGAAGCTCAAAGCCTGATCTGCATCTTCAGAGTCAGTTGTGACAGCACAGCATAGACGCTGGGTATTATGCTTTACCTCAGTCCTTAGTACTACAGGCCATTTGCATGGTAAAAGCATCTTCAAGAGTTCATCTACTCCTGCTGTTTACAGCCCTTGCCTGATGTCATAATCCTCCATCTGTGGCAACAGAGTTTTGTTCAGAGCAACTAACAGGGATGTCACAGGGGATTAGGATTAGGGAGAAAAGCGACAGAAGCACAGGAAGGCTTATAAAACATGAAGATTGTGTTACCACGCACATGCCCTTTAGTGTTAACGAACAAGGAAAGAAAAGACAACAAACAATTTACATATACGGCAGTAGAACTGGTTCTAAATTACCAATGTCATCAGAGTTCAGGTCTACTTTTAACCTCATTCCTTTGGCAACACTTACAGCAGCCACAGTAAAAGCAAAGTTTCAGAACTAGTCTTCATGTAATAATCTGAGATACATCTGATAAATCACACTATGCTTTTAATTAATAAAATATGCATGCTGACTTTAATTTTCCCCTTAAATTTCCAACACACTGACAACACTTGCTATTTCTGTTGAGCGCGTTTTTATTCAAAGGCCTTGGTTTTGTTGTCTGTCTGTAGCTGGGCTTGGCACATTGTCTTCTACATGCCACATGCACAGTGGGAAGGGGAGTGAGTAGGTAGTACATACAGAATAAAAGTGGAGAAGTCCCCAGTGCAGAAAAGCATCCCCACTAGCAGAAGTGTGACTTGCTCTGTCTCCTCCTGTCCAGACTAAGCCTACCAACAGAGGCAGCTCCTTAGGAATATGAGATGGCAAAGCAGAATTCTTCAACAATGTCCATTTGATCTTTATTTCTGCATCTCTAATTTTTACTGGAACAGCTCAGTATCTGAGGATTTACAGGATCTGAGATCTTGTTGGGTCTCCCTCCCTGGGAAGAAGTCCAGTATTTACACTTTTCTTCCAAGTCACCCAGCTAGATGTATGGTTTATTAGCTTTACCACTAAGTAGTTGAAGAAAATCACCTTAGAAGAGTACAGTAGCCAGATCTCTTATCCATATTCTGCTTGGAAAAACTACTTTGTCTTGCTCTTTCCTCCAATTTCAGCTGTATGGGAGGTTTGTCTTTGCCCTAAAACTAAAAAAATTTGAATTCTGCTGCTGCACCTTGCTAAAACTGCCACGTTTCATCCCACAGGTTGGGCACGTTTCACTGGCAAGAGAAGTCATTCCTGCTGTGTCATTTGAAAGCTCTTTGCAGAGAAAGGAACTTTAGGAATAAAAGACAGTATTGTGTTTATCATTATTACAAGTTACACAAGGAATCAGTTTCTTTGTACAACAGCTGCAGGATTATAACACAACTGCCTCGTGCTTTAATCATAACTGGTGATAAGCATTAAGCTAAGCAAACCATTCTTGGTCTTGCACATAACACCTTCCTTCACACATCAAAAATTCACTCCTATTGAAAAGAATCTACCATTTGTGTTAACATTATTTTCTCAGTAAGCTGAAGATCTGCAACAGGCAAGGTTCAATGGCACCATGGGTCCATTTTCAATCTCCATCTCCCTAAATGCTCCCATCTTTTTTTCTTGTACCTTCAAAGAGGTAAAGAAGAGGTAGGAAAGTAACACATGCAAGACGTCTTTACTGTCTTTGCAGAATAAGGTGCTTCTTTTGTCCTATAGTTCCTAAATTGCAAATGCCATCAAGCACTAAAATATCTCTACCACTACCAGTCAGATGTTATGATGGGCAATTTATACCTATGATAAATCTACAATCTACTTCTGTCAGCACTCCTCTTTCATAACCAGCAATAGTCTGCTTTTTTTAATTCAATGTGCAGGCCCAGTACAGCTCAGAGAGGTGTCAGGTCATGGAAACCATATGCACTATTCCAGGATTTACTCTTAGTGCAGGTTAAGGAGAAAATGAAGTTAATCCAGCTAAGTTTTCCAATTTTAGAATAATGTGGAAAAGAATATTTTTTCTGAGTAAAGTGTGACCAAAATTGAGACTGAATCTCATGGAACCATCATTTCACTGGATGGACCATATCTCATATGCTGTAACTGTCAAACACCAATGGTGGCATGTTGACACTTTGCACAAATGTAAGAAACTAAAGTACAGTCAAGGTTCAGTTCACGATTCAGAAAGTTAGATCCTGTATTTTGAGTCACAGGTAGTAGAAAGCAGGAATATCACAGAGTAACTTGAACTTAGCAAACTAGAACCAAAAAAACAAAAAGGGATTTTCAAGGATTGCAAGGCCAGCTCTATGAGCTCTCTCAGTTCCAGATTTTGTTAAGAACTCATCATCCCTTTCATCGCCTAAATAAGGTTAGACATCTCGCAGGTTCCATATTTAAAAAGTTACCCATTGTCAGAAGTAACTCAAAAGCCAGCATTCTGCAGTCCTCTGAAAATACAGCTGTTTATTACAGTGCCTCAACAGAACCTGAACTCTTCATTCACCTGATGTCAGTTATGATACCAAGTCCTTCTGTTTTAAACATGCGGCTGGTCTAAAAATTTTAGGGACTGGGACTAGCTAAAACAACAAATATGCAAGTCTCCCATAGGAAGCACATTTATCTCAAGGTGAAAGGAGAAGGGAATCAGCAGCAATGGCAAACCACAGAGGATGGATCTACAAGGTGGTAGGGTTTTTTTCCCCCTCCATGGAACCTGGCATATACCTATCTTCCTCCTTCTTGTCACCCTGCCACTCTCCATCTCTAAGCAACCTAAAAGGTCTTGAGCAAAGTGCTCATACATATGCTGGTGAGGGAAGAACAAAAAAAAAAAAGCCAACGATACAACAAAAAGTCAACTGCATAAAAGGGAGTATGGCTGGACCCGAGATGAGACAAGGGACAGGGAGATGCAAATGAAGTAGAGAAAGTAAACAGCATCCAGACATTCAGACACAAAAACTGAAAGCAGAAAGGAAAAACTGAAGGGGCTGTATGTGACAAAGAAAAATATAGTCAATTGGAAAAACACCTTTCCCCGCTACAAGTCACAGCAGTACAAAAGTACCAGGCCTCATCGTCTATTCTGAAATAGCCAAACCTATTTAGCAAAAGCTGATTTCCTGAAAAGCCAATAATCCACATCATGTACTCAAGACAAAAGTTACTCCTTAGGCTTCAATGTGATCAGGTGTCTCCATCTGAAGGGCAAATATTCCTATAGGGTTAAGACCGCTGTAAAAATATGAGCTTGAGCTGGAATAATCTTCACAGCTGTGACAAGCATTTAGGTTCTGAGGGCTCTGGAAAAACCAAATCAAACAAATCTGTTTGTTCTGGGACCTCTTCTTCATACTGCATCCACTTCGATGGACATCAAGAGTTAAGCAGGAACTCCTCGGCACGTATTTTGAATTCTGATGGACACACAAGTGACTAGAGAGAACAACAGCGGCTGCAGCCAGAGAGACAGGGTACTTGCTGACATCTAACACAAGTCCACGTCCCAAATTACCTGCCACAGTTTGAATGCATGGCACAGAACACCTTAATCCTCAAGTTATTTACACCTCAGTGTACTTCCAGGATGCTTTTTCTCCCCACATCAGTCCCAGCCCACGTATCCTTCCTATTCTTTCAAATGTCATCCTTTACCACTTTCATTTACATAAACTTCAGAAATCCCCTAGAGGCCGCATCTAATACTCTCTAAATCCTTAATCTCTGTAAGACAGAGAACGTCAATTTTTTAGTTGGGAATAGGCCAGAGATGCCAACAAAACATGGTCACAGTCAGATGCTCCACATGCATAGAGCACAATACATCACACTAACTTCTGTCTACCTCCAGGCTGTCAAATCTTTCAGATTCAGTGTTTCATATACATTCAATGGCTAAAATTATCTCAGGCTGCCAGTATCTTTATCTGTTGGGTAAGAGGGTGCCTCCTAATATGCTTCTGTCTATTAACAACTGTTATAGTGATAAACTGTTTACCCATTAAAATCTTCTTGGTTCCTCCATAGATATTTTTATCCTTTTCTACTGAGCCATAGAATGCCAAACCCTACCTAAAAACAGAGCTGATATTCTGAAGCAAAGGTAATTGCTACCTGCCCACACCTGGAATACGGAACAGGAATATTTTAATTTGAAAATTTCATCTATTGCATTAGTTCAGGTCAGCAACGTCACCAGGTTTTCACAGAAAACATGGTGAATAGAAAAGAAATTTATTAAGCACATGATTAAAGCCACAGAAACTTAATTCCAGTAATATGTAAAATGTTGGGAAGTCTTGTCTATCTCAGAGAGTGAAACAGGAACACTCTACATGTTTTCTCCTACAACAAAACCTTAGACTAAACCAGTGGCTTAGACACAAAATTTCAAGGTGATTAAGCTGATACCATAACAGATATCACCTGTGGCTTCAGGACTGTTAAAGAGAGACATATTGTTCAATGCCTCTGATTTCCCCCTATACCCGAGACCATTCTCTCCCTTTCCATTAAAAAGGAGGAGCATTTTCTTAAACTTCCACAACATTCAGGAACAAATTAATCTGTACTTTATATTGCAGTCTCTCTAGATGAGTTGGAAAGTATACTTTCACTATCATGTTTAAAGGGATAGACTTTCAACACCATGGAAAACATCTCTCCAGTTGTACTAATATCAAAGTCCTATTAGTTTCTAATAAGCAGGTTTCCTCACTTATGTCCCAGGGAAATAGGGTATTTGTATCTAGTTGTTCCATTAAACCTTCCTTCATTATACATCTCCTAAGAACTAGCCTTCATCAAACTGGTTTTCTGTCAGCACTCTTTACCCCATCATCTCTCTGTAATTAAAGCGGCATGTTCTCAATTACTATCTGACCTCTCTTCTTTGAGCCATCATCATTGGTTTCTCCCAATTTTCCCCCACTTTTCTACTGAAGCTACTCTCAGTCTCTTTAATGGCTTTCACTCAAGTATCTTTAGTATTTGAACACCATCCACATAGTCCTCAACCTTTTGGCAACCTCGAACGTCATTGATTCATCCCTTTTTACTTAGCAGGCCATAGTAATAAAAGATGCCAGTAAGAATTTCACGTGAGGATCAACATCATCAAAGAGTCCTAACCGCTTTGTAAAAAGTCAGAAGCTATCCAGTAAAAGGTTCTAAAAAAGACCTATAAAAGGTACAAAAATTGGTAGATACAACAGGATCAGGCATGACCACTCATGTTTGATCAATTACGGCTTGTAAAATGCCATCTAACTACTAAGGGAATTTGTAGATAATACGTTGGGTTTGGGGTTTTGTTTGTTTTGTGTTGTTGGGGTTTTTTTGTTTGTTGTTTTTTTTTTTAAACTGAAATTCCAGAAAGTTATTTCTGTGGGGTTTGTGGGGTTTTTTTTTAAAGTCTAGGTTAAAAAAATAGCTTTTACCTTCTGGTCTCACTTCTTAAGATCAATACTGAAGAAATCAAGTCAGCTTTTTGTTTTGTAAAGCTCTGAGGGCCTCCTGTGCCTCTATACACAGCAGCAATTTGCCTGAACAACCATTAGGCATTTCAGAAAATCAACCTGTGCTTTATGGATATTCAGAGATTGATACAGTCAAGCCCCCCACATCAACAAAAACACCTCCATTGTTTGCCAAGTCTCCTTCTTCAACCCAGATATACCCTCCAGAGGGCCTAGGGTTTGTCATTCTGTTCTTGTCTCAGAGGTGTGACTGCATCCAGTAAAAGGCACCAAATGTTACATAAAAGCATGTTTCAGTTCAAACCAGTAATGGGGAAGAAGAATCTTCTCTACCTTGCAGGTCAGCTTTAGTCAACTCAACTTTGTTAGCAAAAAATAAATAACAAAACAAACCAAAAAAAGCAAACCCAATAAACAACAGGCTAGTATAAAAGCAGATAAACCAGGGTCACATCACTTAAAATAAATAAAAGCAACTGGTATCTGTCACGATTTAACCCCAGCCAGCAACTAAGCACCATGCAGCCACTCACTCACTCCCCACCACCCAGTGGGATGGGAGAGAGAATCAGGAAAAAATAGGTAAAACTCGTGGGTTGAGATAAGAACAGTTTAATAGAACAGAAAGGAAGAAACTAGTAATGATAATAACAACAATAGTACAATGACAGTAATAATAATAAAAAGGATTGGAATATACAAAACAAGTGATGCACAATGCAATTGCTCACCACCCGCTGACCGATGCCCAGCTAGATCCCAAGCAGCGATCCCTCCAGGCCAACTCCCCCCAGTTTATATACGGGACATGACATCACATGGTATGGAATACCCCTTTGGCCAGTTTGGGTCAGCTGCCCTGGCTGTGTCCCCTCCCAACTTCTTGTGCCCCTCCAGCCTTCTTGCTGGCTGGGCATGAGAAGCTGAAAAAAAATCCTTGACTTTAGTCTAAACATTACTCAGCAACAACTGAAAACATCAGCGTTATCAACATTTTTCTCATACTGAACCCAGAACATAACACTATACCAGCTACTAGAAAGAAAATTAACTCTATCCCAGCCGAAACCAAGACAGTATAACAGCCAACATGCATAATCAATGCATGCAGGAATGACAACATAAGCAACAAAGGCACAGAGGGACATGGATACCTTAACCCAACCAAGCAACAGATAACAAAACAACAGACAAGATATAGGAAATGCATTTCATTCACACACGCACACAGGAGGTCACGCAATTTACAGACAGTAGAAAGAGAAGAAAAAAAATTAAGACAGATTTTGTCTCATTTGAGAAATACTTAGAATCCATTTAAGTAAAAAAAAAATAATCTATTTGACTTTCAGTATATTAGTCAATAATATTTTTCTTTTGTTTCTACATCCAGGCTCTGGAGCTGAACTTAAATCTTCTGTCTCTCATGGAAGCACAGATTGCCCTGGCTTTTTGTCCAAAGTGGATTTATTGCCAGAAAACCATAGGGGACTGGTAACTCTGGAAGATGACAACCTCTGTTTATCCCAAGAACTGAACTTGATACTGGGTTTAAAGTGACAGTAAAGCCTTGCCCCCTCACAAGCTGTTGCCTGCACATGGATTTCAACACCTCCTTCAGAAAACTTGCATCAACAGGCAAAGAGACAGCCAAGGCTTTAAACCCATATAAAAAAGCAAACCAGAACAATACCACTGATGCTTTTCCATTTAGGCACAGGATTTTTTTTTTTTTTTTTTTTTTTTAATGGAGTCCAGTTCATAGGGAAGCCACACAGATTTTTGATGTGTTACACCTTGATTCTACGTTTTCTCTTTCAGTATGGAAAAAGCAGAAGATAAAGATGGGAGTACAAGCAGCAGCTCCTGAATCCCTTGCCACTGAACGCTACATATTTCTATTATACAGCACAATGGGAACAACAAAATACCAAATCACTGACCTCATTGCTCAAAAGATGGGTAATTAAGAAGTGCACACACACCTTTATAACCTTCTGTTCTTAAAAAGTTCTAATATCACAGCTGATGTTGAAGAGAGATTGGTAGCTCTCCCTTTCTCCCAGTGTCTCCTTCTACATTTACAACCCAATAAACTAGAACTGGCATGTACAGATGCCATTTCCTATAGTTCCTATTAAGTTTAACATTTTGAATCTTTGCTATTGTTTTGCAGCCCATGAATGACTCAACATGGCAATTACCTTCCTTTTTGAGCTTGTCAGATTTTTCTTCCCACTTCTGGAACTGCTCTACTACATAGAGCCATAAAATCCCCAGAGTTCTTTAAAGAAAATGCAGAAGAAATGGGGGAGGTGTGGAAAGAGGAGAAGGATGCATTTCTCCATACATCATCCTCAACACACATTCTAACAAAGTAATTTCTGTGTAACAAACAAGCGCTTTCCCTAACTGCCCTGCTCCTCATCTTTGTAGCCAAGCTGAAGCAAAACTTATTCATTCTGTAATTCCAGTAGCACTACGACAATGCAATACAAAAGCAAAAAGACCAAGAAAGCTGTCAAACCATCATGGAGTAAATTAACACTCCAGTCCTCAATGGACAACCTTTGATTCCACAGAGAAAGTGAAGTATCACCAGATTTGAAGTTTCACTACTGAGCAGATGAAGGGTGAAATCCTTTCTGACATTATCCTGCTGTGAGATTTTAAGCATGAGATTAGATTTTCTTCTTTCCACATACTGCTTAGTATGCAAAATGCATTTCTGATTATCCAGCCTGTATGTGTCATTCATGCTTTTCATGCACCAGTGAATTCCAAAGGTTAACTATACTATTTCATGGAAAGTAGCACAAGATTATGATTTTACTGCAGAATCTGAAAGAAGATTAAGTTAGGGCAAAAAAAAGTCCCAAAACATCTGGAACAGTGTCAGCCAGTTTAATAATAATCACTCTCCTTTGTGAGAAGCTGTTATTAGTGGAACAGGTGAGGAAAGGTGAAAAGGAAAGGAAGAAGCCACATCTCTAAAGCACATAGAAAACTGCCTTGTGGAAGAAATACAATGTTCTTCAACCACTGCTATTAGGTTTGTTTGGCTGGGGGCAGGATATGGTGAACATGAGTATTAGAAAATGCAGCTGAATTTCAGATAGCTCTAGTGCCCATAGTAAGCAACATAAGGATGTCTAAAAAAAGGAAAACACAGGAGAACATGTGGCAAATTAATAAAGGGGTGAAAAAATACCCCAGCTTCAGGAAGTACTCATTAATATTTAGGACAACATCTTTAAACTCCACAGAATCTGCCTAACTTCTTCCATGACCAGTAAGGAAAAAGCAGCGAGTCACTCAGTCTTGACTTTTGTGGATGGAATAAACTGATCCATTCATCTAGTAGTAAGGCCAGGAATGAAGTGCTCAGCAAAAAGAATTGATTTTATAAGTCTAGAATCAAGGACGAGCTGACCTGAAGTTTAAATTGGTTTACTTTCAAGAAGGGAGAGAAGGTTACCTGGAACAACTTCTTCCATCCTCCAACTTGCATACATACCACTGCAGACATCTTTTCTCTCAAGATGTGTATGTCTGACACAGAAATGGAAATAGCCTGTGTTACTCAAACTCAGGAGCTGTACAAAAATTGCCAACCACAGCCCATAGGCCATTGAGCTAGACGACTAAAGAGAACCAGGTCATAATACAGGGCTGCTTTTCCTCAGTTTCTAATGCTTTTCTCACCTCCAGTGGCCTCCACTCACTACGTCAGACTGCTCTGCAAGACATAGTTGAATTTTATACTCTCATCGCAAACAGATAAATACCATGTGCCTATTTTATGGGTGGAGAGAGCAAGGCCCAAAGAAGGTGGCAGACTTGCCTGCAAGCTTCCAGTAGAAGTGTGCCCCCAAAATGAAGTCCTTTCTGAGAACTGACTTTGTCTTTTCAGAATGTTCGGTAGCCTGACCCAACACTGACACAAGGACCATTTAAGTCTTAACCACTTGCCTACCTTTTGTACCTTTTCTCCCAGGCCCTCTCACCAACCCCTTTTTTGAGCTGGTGGTAGAGGAAAAGACCCTGTTGTTACATAAAAGATGGCGATGATAGCTGCAGTTAGCAAGAGAGCTAAAGATACTCTGTGAAAAATGAATAAATATATTGGTATAATGTCATTATCCTGAAACCTCATTCTTCTCACAGTTGCATGTAGCACATCAAGCCAGAACAGATTTTACACACCAGGCAGTAAGAAGGTTTCTGGCTTTACCGAATACCTTCCAGGGAAACACAAGCTGCCACTACAGATCTGACCAGACCTTCAAGATCAATGAAGAGCTGCCTGTTGTTCCCCAAAAATCAGAAATGCAGCAGTTGCAAGAGAGCGATAAAAATAAAGCAGACCATCACATGCAAAAAAGAAGGGGTGTATGGTGTGGAGCTTTTAATTCCATGAGCTCATTTGACTTTCAGACACTCTTAGGTTCTCCCAGATGATTACCCACAAAATTCTTTGCCAAAAGCAATGGTCCTACAGGACACATCAAAACACAAAACAGGTTAGTGTGTCAGCTATCATGTTGTCCAGCACACAGGTCATTGAGCAGCAGACTTCAAAAGCTGAAAGCTTAAGTTTGTACAGCACACAAGGAAGCTGCATAATGCAAAAGGAAGCTGACACTTCAGCTAACACACAGGATAAAGAGGTTACTTAGCTGTGCTATCCTAAAAAAAATCCTACCATAGGTAATTTAAAGAAATTATAGGAATAAAACTGATAGGCAGAGATAAAGTAATTCTTGCCTTAGGTCTTGAAGTGCCTTTGGTTTTTTTTTTAGCACTACTATACACTATTAAACATCAGCCACTTTCAGTCTCAAGGATGCTTGCATTTCAGTTAATGACTTCTACATATGGCCTAAGAATGCTTTGGGATTCTCCAGTTCCTAAAGAAAAAGCTCTCAGATATTTATACTGAAAGTGCTTCCTGCTCAAATAGGAGCACTGCCTTACCCATCACTAGAATAGAGCTGATTTTACAATGTGGTAGGTTTTTGCTTTGGTGCACAGCAAGGCTGAATTATGCTTGAGCACGTAAGAGGAACAATGTGGCCAAGGAAATTCAATGGCTTGCTTAAACCAAGTTAAGAGGAGGTGGCGGTAGAATGAAGACAATAAAGAATATTATTTTCCTATTAAAACTTGTGAATCTTGATTGGTGGTATGGAATAAGGTACTGAAATACATGAATAGAGATAACAAACGCAAACAGGATGCAATGATGTCACCCATTCGTAATAGTACTGGTCTGTCTTAGGTGGGACAGTGCTGTCTACTGACCTAAATCTCACATTCTACTATTCTCCAGGCTTTCTTCCTCCACACATCCTTTGCTTCTGTTTTGAGATCAAACTGACAATTTCAGAGAAAACAGTTGCCACCTTGTAATATCCTCTGCTTCTGAAAGCAAAGCCGCAGCAAGAGACAAGCACTAGCAGAAATCTCTCTCACCACATTTGGAAGGCAAGATTCATATGTGGGGATGAAATGATATTTCTTTACACATGCACGTTCTCATCATGTACATGGTCCCACTGCCCTTCATGATGAAATAAGGACGCATCCTGCAAATCAACACACAGCACAACTGTTCACCCAAAAAGCCTGCAAGTGTTTATTACAAACATTTAAACATCATGAGACAGCGAGAACTGCCTGGGACTTCAGCCCTCAAAAATGTTGTTAAGACTGCACCCAAGATCACTTCAGATGGAAACAAAACAGGGAGACTTAAATAAGGACCGAACATGCTTAAGAGTTTTTGTTTTCTTAGAGAAAGGGGAAGTAGGTGTGACTTTCAGTGGCAACTGTAAGAACAGGCACCAGCAGGCAGCACTCAAGATGTGAGATGAAGCTTTGGGGATTGCTGTGATTCAAAAAACAAATGAAACAGCCTTCTGTTGACCTAATTCTTAGCAGAGACTGTTCAGGAAGATAGCACGGGCACTGCTTTGCAAGACCAAGTTCTTCTGAAGGCAGAATGAGGGCCATCATTGACCTTCCCACCCAGTTTTTTAGGTCTGTCTCCAACTTTGAATCTTGTTTGAAGGGCTTTAGAAGAGAAGAGGGACTCACATTCCTGACATTTCTAAGAGTGAAACAATCTCCACATTCAGGCAGCAGCTGTGCTGGTACCAGATTGGCACACAAAGTAAGTGCCACATTACATGTTTTGGGAGTGGCACTGATATTACACAACCTCAGTAATAGGACACTAAATCAAAGAACTACACTGGGTACAGGAGACGGAAACACCACAGCTGTAATAATGGTGCAGTCTTCTGGGAAAGCATCACGACTGTTCGTGAGCCACACACAGAACAGGTTAGTCTAATGAGAAGTCCTCTGAAGACGAGCTAGTAGAGATAACATGCAGGCTACATTGCCAACAGATTAAGCTTATTTTAAATAGAAGAATTACTAGAAATCACTAACATTAAAGAAGAGCTTTCAGCGCACCAGGGATAATCAGAAAAGACATTTTAAAAAAAACCCAAATGCATTTTTTTTTCCTTGAACCTTGTAAACAACACAGAAAATGTGCACTTCTTTTAGCATTTTGGCTCTGCCACAAAAGGGCAAAGCCACAAGTTCTGCTGTGCTATGCTCCTTTCCACAAGGAACAACATGGTTAACAGACACTGTTACATACAGCAGAGAGAAAAAAAAAAACCAGCCTACAGCTGTACAGCACTTACCAATGCTGTGAAATTGGAGTTGACATTGAGTGAGCTCCTGGGACAGGACACAAAATTCTCACAAACTACAGTATTATTGTGGCAGTGTAGAAGGAGGGCGCAGGCACAGGACCCCCCAGCCAATCAGAACACTGGGAGACAGGGAAGGGATCAGATTTAATTCGACTGACAATTTGGTCTTTCATGAATACTCAAAGACAGCACTAAGATGATACTTCCAATGCTAAGAAGGGACAGTCTTGACAAGTGGCAAGGCTTCAGCATGATGTAACCTGTAATCTTGAGACTGTAGGGAAATATGATCAAGGACTAATTTCACTTTGTGAAGTCCTATCTTGAAGGATCAGTTTGGGGGACACATCTTCTTCGCAAACATGCATACCAGACAACTTTACTGATCTTCCTCTAGTGACTGGTAGCCAACACAGTAGACTAGTATTCAATAGAGCTACACATAATGATTTTCATTTAACCCAGCCAGCAAAACCTTGGGGTTTTTGATGATAAGTATCCCAAGTGCTTTGGGAATTGATGCTATATGCATGTTACCAAGTCAGTGCTGCTGACGTCAATATTCTTATAATTAATGGGAGCTTAGCAGGAACAGTAAATTATTTAAAGGAGCTTCAAGAAATCACTACTATTTACATGCTTCAAGAAGTCACTCATCGCATTTGTTTCTAAGCTGGCTGGCAAAGAGAAACTACAGGAGAAAGGTTTTCCAGACAGCAGAAGCAATGCCCCCAGTGCTTTCACCGGATGCCCACCTTCTCAAAAAGGAACTCCTGTTTTGGTCTGGTCTTCACCCTTCAGTTCCTTCTACCTTCCACTTCCCCTGCCTCTACTTGTCTTCGAAATACTTACTCCTGTGGATCCCAAAAAAGGGTGCTCTGAAGCACAAGCAAATTGAAGGCTCAGAACTTCTTTCAAAGTTTTTGAACTTTTAAGATTACATCTTAAGAGTACTGTAATGTTAATAACCCACTCTACACAAAGTACTAGTAAATTGTAGTCCATCCCAGTACCATCCTTTCCACTACTGGAGGTATCACCTGACAGGGGATGGAGTATGCAAGAGAACAGCTGCTGAGCTGCTCACAGAAGCTAGCTATCCTTAAGCTGAATATGGAAGACATAAGTGTAGTGAAGGACGTCACAATGAAAGTAAACTAATGAAATGGACAGTAAGGTGGACAAGTAGATGCACGGGGGGCAGCCACGAAGTAAGAGGGGAGTGCTTGAGAGGGGAACTTCTCTGAAATCAATTATACCTTCGCATCCACGCTCAATCTGCCCACTGCGGTGCAGAGCATCATTGATTAGATCAGGCAGACGCCCGTTCAAGTCCACAGATGCTAGACAGCCCTGAAATCCATCACGTGAGGCCACTAGCTTCGGGAGATTGCTATACATGCCTTGAGCTAGGCCAGCAATGTAGAGATCACCTAGAGAATAAAGGTGTAAACATACAAGCAGGAAGTTACACACTTTTTAGAGTGGCTTTCCCCCACTCCCAACATGAATATAGCAAGCTGAACAGCTGCTCAGAAAAAGTTAAAAGCAGAGCAAGATATCGTGCAAAAAGTCGTTTCTGCCTCCTTTATTACAAAAAAACCCCCCAAAACCAAAAAAACAACCAAATAACACAAACAACACAAAACTGAAAAACTACCCCCCAAAAAACAACCACCCCCCCGCCAAACAAAAAAAACACCAAAATACCCAGCTGTAATTGCATCCTAACTAGCACAAACTGTAGCATGACAATCAATTTCTGAAAAAGCAAAATATGACAAACTATTCTGCTATAGGAAGTTACCAAACAGAGAAAGAGAAAAATGAAATTGAAAGCTGAAATCAGCAAATTCCAGATTTACTGTTCTGTACTGCACAGTTCCTGCAAGCTTTCTCTTGTGCACT